ACCTTGTGCACAAGCGCGCAGCCAGAGCCTTGGCAATGGGCCAGGGGCACGCACAAGGTTGATAAAGGGCTCCCCAATAGTGAAAGCCCCCCCCAAACAAAAATATCGCTGGCATTGGAGTGCCCCATTGTGCCGGCCGGGGCTCTGAATAGTCTCCCAGCCGACCTTTCTGGCCTTTGGGCCCTCAAATCAGGCCCTTAATCGTAAATCCCGAGGCCCTTCGGGTCCCCTGAAACCTTAGGCAGGGGGAACGTGCCCCCTGTGGCCTTCCCTCCCTGCGCTCCCTGCTTGCGCGTCAGGCTGTTGGTTTGCGTTCAGATATAGGCAAATAACGGCGGATCGTAGGCTTTCTGCTGCTTAAATCATTCATCTATAATATAACAATCGTTTTACTCTATTTTATCATGGTGCACTTTCCTGTCGTCCCGTTGAAGTCTAATCAAGTCGGATAAATAGCAGCATACGCCATGTTAATACCTGCTGAACACTCTTCATGAAAAAGCCCTCCCCAGGCCGGTTGATATCACCAACGAATTTTGGCTCCATCGACCTCCATACGACATTGGCTCCATGCTGTGGAATCGCCTCGGACCGCATAACAAATGACTGCAGTTCATTAAACTACCCGATGAGTGTTTGCCCCGACGGCTGGACACCCGGGACACTAAATGTTTTCCGTCCCCAACGGCCCGATAAGAGTAGGAGAAAGGGCAACCAACGCCTTTTGGGTTTCCATGACCCTTTAGCACTAATAGTGCTAACAGTGCTAAAGCATCAATGACCCGGTCGGCGGCACACTACTCGACGGCGGTTTTCCCGAAGCTTCTGCTGTTGCAACGGTTGCAGCAGAGGGCGGCCGGGGCTGAGGAGCGGGCAACGGAGGCGACGCTCCAGACAGCGGTGGAAAAATTGACTCGAGGTGCTGCTGGAACTGTTTATCTGCTGACCGAGCTACTGCAGTTTCAGGTGCTTCGGCGGGCAGCCGCCGTTCATCTCATTCGCAGGTGACTCCGACAGTCTCTTCTACACTGTCGGTGTTCCAGTCAGTATACAAAGCCCCATGTTGCTCGACCCTGCTCGCGAACCCCGGTGTCTTAGGGCGACAGCACACAGCCTCTGATGCTGTGGATGTGACTGGCGGCGCGAGTGCGCGGCGGCCTCCATTGGTGGGGTGCACAGTTTGTGGCCCGTTTTTGGGATACGGCTTGTGCCGGCGTCAATGCAGCGGTCTACTTAATGATGGCCTCTTATGCGACTGAGTGTGGGTGAATGGTTCGCTGTTGGTGTAACTGTGAGTCACGTGCTCATGCTACCTGTTAAATGTGCCTTTCCCACGGCTTGCGTATGTGTTGGGTTTTTATATACGTGTCAATTACGCATATGCACTTTCTTCATACAAGTGGAATCCATGGTGCGGCGGGATGTAGCAATCAGCTGCTGACCGAGGAAGGAGGACCGTGCAACACTAAAATCAATGAGTCAGTCGTTACAGTCATTGCAGTCAGTCACTGAAGCCAAACGAGCTGCCTCATAAACATGTCGGCTGTTTGGCTGATGCGAGATTTCGTGCTCGACGCCCACGCGCCCATTCCAGTCTTCAAAACTAGTCAAAGGCCCCTGTGGCCCACCACTTCCCAATGTAACAAGTGTGCTTTGGTTAAGTGTAGTGGTGTCAGATTTGCCAACGGATCTCAAAAATGACGTAGAGAAAGAAGCATTTGCATTGAATCCTGTATTGGAAAGATGCGACAGGAGAATGACACACCTAATTTGCTTCCAAACTGACATTCAGGTATAACGCGTTTTTACCAATGGGGTGGGTCTATTTCCGTGCTTAGGTGTCATCTTCCGCCCAGAATTGCAAATCTCGCCACACTGCCCTTGGTGAGCACTGCTTTTTCACCGTTCATCAGCTCCACCTACACAGATTGCTACTATAAACGGGAGCAACAACAAGGAGATCGTTTTTGTCGTTGCGAAATTTACTAGCGAGCATCATCCAAACGTGAACGAAGTCGACATCTAATGTGTAAGTCACTGAGACTCATTTCGCCTTACGACGTGCTCTAACAATCACGTTATGGACATGGATTTAACACCTCTCCATGAGCGCTAGGACAGAGCATTTTCTGCTGACAGGGCACGTAAGCATGCAGCTTGGCCAGAAACCTCCATGTGGCTAACAAACATGCCAAGCTGCCTCATCACAGCTGCCTTTTCCCCATTGCACCACGCAATACGTCTTTTTTGCCAGTGGTGTTTTTTTCCTGAGCGTCATTGTTAGTCTCTCGATGTGAAGATGTCTCCTACGAAAACAAGTCTCCCTTCCCCTCTTGGCTTTTTGTCCAGGTAGGACATTTGCGACCTCCACCACACAATCGTCTTAACCCATGTCCTCCGGACCGTCCTCTTCTGCCATTGGTGCGCTGTTGAGGTAGTCGACTTCGTCCAGATTTTTCCCTTTGCAGACAGAGATGCCATTTTTGGTTTATTGGTTTTATACAACACGCATCACATCGCAGCCTACTCCTGTACATTTGCTTCGATCCTGAGCATAAAGCACAGCGACTTTAAAACATGGAAAAAGGAAAACAAAATAACTGACCCAAAACGGAACGCCAACTGTATTCTCGCTCCGTTGTTTCGTAATCTACGAACTACACACTGCACAACTACATCTTTAGAATACCGCCCCGTATTTAAGATCATCTAGAAAATGCATACAGTTTGGCTCCAATGGTAATTTGCAGGCCGTCCAATGCTTGAAAGCGGAACTTCAAATACTCGCATCCTTAACGAGTGACGCTCTCGGGGAGTAATCTGGAAAGCCGAAAACGGGTGAGATATGAGAAATTTCAGTTCAGAACAGGATTGTGACCCCCACGTGAAAGAAAGTTATGCTTGTGTTCAGAAGCGTGGGCATGCACCACGCTGATGGCTCACGGGGGGTGGAATTAAAATAGCTGTGCAATAGTCGTGTCCCGAAAGATAGCTTTCCAGTTCACAGCAAATCCGTGAACGAATATCGGAGGCCACATGCCTCCCGTCCGCGTACATATTACCCATCTTGTTAGAGCACATGCACTGCCGTCAAGAAGAAGGAAGTGATGGGGCGGCGATGGGGGGCGGAGAGAGGGGGACAACAATAAATCGTACTAAGCTCTAGCCACGCAGCCGAACTTAACCTGAAATTAGGCCAACAACAGCAGAGTCGCCAACATTCATCGTCAACGCGATCAGCAGCTACCGTGATTCGGACGGCCCTCATGCATGGTACGCGCGCCCGTTGGCAAACTATGGCGTGCCTGTCTTCATTCCTGTAGCCACGCACGCACAGCTGCGATGGGAATCGATTTAGAGAAGAGCAACAGTTCCAGTATCATCGCTGACCGCATGCGGCAATTGCGAGTCCATGCCCTGATGTCCTAGGCTTACTACGCCCTGTCAATGCCATGCTGTTCATGCACGCCATACGGTTAACAGTCGTAAGACAGCGAGGCATAACCGAAACGAGTTGTGGTAAAAAGCTTATTGCCTCTAAGCTCAAACAATGCATCAATAAGAAATGACGAAACTACGACAGACAGGCGGCGGTGGCCCACAGACCGTCATCCCAGCCCCAGGGCGAGTACGCCCCCCTAGCCCAAGTGTATGTCTACTGGCTGGTTGGTAATAGTGGACAGTTTTCTGATCACTGCCATATCGCGGGTAGTGCAGGATGAAGGTAGTGTGCGCCATGATGCAAACATTATGATATATTTGATTTATGATTTTGGATCGAGTGCGTATTGTGAGTGTGATTGCACGCTATATGTGAATGCATCAACAAAAATTACAAAAAGACCAGACAACCAAACCGCTGACCTGACCATCGCATTTGAAACTATCCGACGTCACACCGTGATGCTGGCCGCGAAACAGATGGGAGGCAGCCCCAATGCACACCAACGCCGTAACTGTTTTTGACAACGTGACACGCTGGAAGACCGACACCCCTCCTTGCTGCGGATGGGCTTCTCCACGCCATTGCGAGACACTCGTCTGTCTAGCCCCCGCAGACGAGGTCTCTTCGCAGGCATTTTGGTCTGCCCGGAGTGCGCAGACCAGAACCATGCTTAGTGTCCCCTCGATGGGTTTTTGGCAACACCGTTATGGCCCGGAGCCGGATGTGGCAGCCAAACCCGCTACCACAAGCTATGTTCAGTGAGCGGCCGGACCCCACGCTCATGAAAGCGTCTGTGATTCCGCGCAAACAACCGGCGTTGGTGATGTATATTATATATATATATATATATATATATATATATATATATACATATGTATGTATATATATATATATATATATAATATATATATATATAATGTATATATGGTATATACTCTATATTGTGAATATGGAGATATAGATATAGATATAGATATAGATATATATATATTATATATATATATATATACATATGTATGTATATAATACTATATATATATATGTATATATGTATATATATATATCTATATGTTATATATATATATATATATATATATATATAGATATATATTATATATATATATATAGATATATATATATATAGATATATAGATATATAGATTATATATATATATATATATAATATATTATATATATATATATATATATACATATATATTATATATATAATATCATGGATCCGTCGTCAAATGCGTAAAACAACATATAGTAATGATCCAAGGCTTGGTTCAATCGTCCCATTCATAGGAAATAATTAAAGAAACTATGTTGCAGCAAACACCCTAAGCCATACACATTTCACATACAATGAAAAGACCGAGACTGCCAGTGACTAAAAACTTTTTAAAGCAACTTCTGCACCCCACCTGTTCGAATTTGGCAGGGAAACTGCTTGCGAGGCCTATTTCCACCATCGCCAATGCTTCTCATTTTCTTCGGGTAGCCGTGCCCGTGGTAAATATTCTCGAGGACCCATGAGCTCGAACTCTTGACCCGAACGCCCCAAAATCTGTCCTTCCCGAAGAATATCATGCTCCATATTGCAAATAGCATATGAAAATGCTGTTGCGCGTAAGTCCTTAAGCATCCCAAATATAGCCTGAGTTACCTTTGTTGCAGTAAACTTTCCGGAGGACTTCTTTTAGAGGACTAAACTTCTTTAACTCTCCCAATGGTATACATATAAGCCACCTGAGAACAAAAATGTTTTTGCATGTTTCATTAAAGAATGACGCCATGCACCGGTGGTGCCACAGAGAAGGAGCACTAAATGTTGACAAGACCATTCAATAACGCGGATGCGGGTGTACCTACATAATTGCAGGCCGCGATATGTCAGTGGTGTTGGTGCAGGTGGTGGTGGCGTTGGTTGCAGAATAAAGTGGGGCTGGTACAGTCGACACGTGCTTGCGTAGACCAGCGATGAGGATGGTGGAATGAGATACCAAAATGGCGTTACACTGAGGTCACGCACCATGCAGGAGCTGTTATGGTCACACAATGGTAGGGGGGGAGGCAGACATTGGTGGTGTTGGCAGGATCAGACACTGGTGAAACTGGCAGGGCAATGGGGTCAGCTGCATGGAGCCGACACCCGCATGGAGCTGGAGGGGTCAGACACCATGGTGGGATGGGTAGACCCAGACATTGTGGTGGGGTGCATGGTGTCATGCACTGTAATGACATCCTACTGGTTAAGGCACTGATAGGGATGGTGGAGCCAGGCAGTGTAGTGGCATATTTGTGGGGGTCGGACGATGCAGTGGTGTTGGCAGTGTTGGACAATGTGATGGGGTAGATAGAGAAAGAAAAGCATGCATGAAATGCTAGATAAGAGCTGATGACAACAAATTCTACATGTCACAAATGATTCACACCCTCTTCAGAGTAGTCATTTCCTAAATAATTTGACTTTCCTGACATCAACTGACCTGAATCAAGCCGGTCGCACTAAGGCTTTCTGGTCTTCAATTGCTTCAATGTCCAGTGGCTATAACATCACCTGAAACAGCAACAATGCTAAAAATTATTCAGTGGGTGGAGATTAACTAAGGACTAAGTAAGTATTTTTTTGTTTTTAGCGCCCCGGAGGTGTTCATTGTATCTTAAACGTGAGGGACGTATGGACTTCCCGACATAGACCCAAACAAAACAGGGAATACCCCTTTCGGTGACCATTTTTTGGCAAAACATGCTCAGGCTGAAATCGGGGGAGGTATGGACCCTATGCCCCTTTTAGAGCCCAAAGTTGTCTACAGAGCAGAGGGCCACCCAGGTAGGGAAAAATTTAATCTATTCTTGCAAAAAATCAGCGACCAAATTTTAACATACAAAGCTCATCCTGGCCGATTTTGCGAACATGATATATGCCTTTATATGCGATGTGTGCTAGCTTAAAATAGTTAACATGTGAAGTGACGCCTGACGCGTGATATGCGATGTCTGTTCAGTTGAAATCGCTTGCATGTATAATTGATGCGCGACTGTGATACCTGTTAACCTCAACTCGTTTGTATGTTTGAACGAAGCGTAATGCATGACGCCTACTTGCTTGAATTAGTTTGCATGTACACGTATTGTCGCCTATTCTAATTATTAGATAAGCACCGTATCGTGGTAACGGCTAGCAATAACTTTTTGTTTAATCCTCTAAGAGTTGGTGTCCTGTAAAAACTGGCTTTCTATTTCCAAAAAAGCTGAAAAATCGGGTAGGGCCACCAGCAGGCAATTTTGAATTTATTTCTGCTACTTTTCGATATACGCATGTTGCCGAAATATCAATTCAACTATATCTTTATTCTCCCGGTTTTTCTTCGACGAATAAGGCTATTAATATTGTCTTAGCTATGTGAAAAATGCTCCTCTGCTAATGCTAATGCACTGAACAACTTACGTAATCTTGCACAACATTGATTTGAGCCAACCGACGGCCGTTACGTCTGAAAATGTATTCACAAAGCCGGATATGAACGACGCAACGGTCATATGATGGCTTGCCTTAATCGCCCCATGGCCAATGAAATGGCAGCATTTGAAGACATTACGCGTTGTGGGTGCCTGGGTGACCTTGAAATAGTCACCACGAAATAATATTCGCACCTATGAAGGTTAGTAGATCACAAACTAGAAAGGTTAACAAAATAAGAAGGGTGCTTAAGAATGGAAGGACTGTGTAACATACTGAATGATCTTCAAGATGGCTAATTTCAATTGAAACCCATACAAATGTGGCACACACCCTTTTATACTCTGGTATCTACCACACACTAAGGTTCCGATGTATGGAAAACCTTATGTTTGTAATGATTTCCCCTTCAAGGCTAAATTGGTGCCCAAAGCCTCTAAAAACGTGTTGTTCTAGGGGGTTGGGGAACATGTCTGTAAGTACCTAACGGCAACATTTTTTAAATGTAATACAACACCCACTGCAAATGCATGAGAAAAACTGCAAGCATCCCCCTTACAAACGTCTGGTCTAGCGTGATAAACCTACCCAGACAATTGCATAATATTGCTGAAGTCAATCTCTTCAACCACCTTCAAAAGCTAACACAATGTTTGCCACTTCAGCAACTATCCTTATCAGCACACCATTCTCTAATCAATCAAGGCAGATCAGTCCTCCATTAGCTACAGTTGTCGGTAAACAGGGTTCACCAATCCCTTTCGAATATTTACTACTCACTTTTTAAAACCTTGCCGGACGACAATAACTTGCATCCAACGTAAGCCCAGTCTTCTCGTCCGAAAGGCCGCACACCGCAACGTCACCGTCGCGCTCGTTCCAAGAACGCGCAATGGCGGCGATAGAGCTACGTATCCCATGTGACTTAACACAATTTACATTAATATCTTTCATCACCAGTTTCAACGTGATTCAATGTGATTTAAATGCTTATACCAAACGCAAACAACTTACAAGTGATGAGACCACATCATGGAGCAGCGTGATTTTGCATTTCCTTATTCATCTCTATTCTCTTCCACGTGACCTTGCCACCTGAAAAACTTACACACGCGCGCAGTTCGTCCAAGATAACACACTTTACACAACCGGAAGTAAAAATGCGTATAATTGCGTTTTTCGAGGACCAGCTGAAAATCGAATAAACATGTTCAAACAAGACTAATATCTCATTTAAGGCCTCTGAAAACCGAGGTCCGGCATTTGGACCTCGGTAGTGAATACCGGACCTCGGCAGTGACGGGTTGTTGGGTGTGTAACCGGATTTGGTCCTCTGTTTTCACGGCACACAAGAGCACACACACACACACACACAAACACACACACACACACACTGTATATCAAGCCAAAACGTTGCATAACCCTTAAACACCTTCGCCAAACGACACTCCTTGCGACCCCGTAGATATGTAGACAAGGTTTAAATACCCTTGCAAAAGTGAAGAAAAAAGCAAAGGTGAGTCGAGGGAAACCCACCTTATCAAACATCCTTTGGAACTCCCACTCGAGTGTAATGAAAAACACCCAATCGGGGATAATGGTCATGACACCCTGCCTGGCTGCCCTGGTTCGATAATCTATGTCAGTATCTATTGCCATTCGGGATGGTACTCGCCTTGAAAACCTTCGTAAAAGCCAGACAACCCTGAATGAGAACACGTCACACTCTTAAAGGATGCTGACACCTCACACAACACCCCTTGGTATCTTTATTTTTCTCAGTTCGGTCGATCTGTACAAAGCTAGCGTAATATATCGCCTGTGATTTATTGTAGTTTGCTCGGATAAAGTATGGAAAATGTGTGCCATTTGATCCCATGTGTGCTGGGAAAAACGCCTGTCAACACTGGCTAGCATCTGATGTACGCTTTACATTTTCACTTTTTGTTTCTGTGAGCAAAGCCCGCGACCGAAAAGTCATTACGAGAGTTACTTAACGAATATCGCGTATTTGATTATCCGTTGGAGGGTATCGTAATTCCCTTAAAAGGACCATCTCACCCAATATATGGCAATTCATTGGCGTATCCGTTTTTGGATACACCAACTTGTGAATGCGCTTTAACTGGACTCATTTCTTCCGCTAGGTTACCTGCCGCGTCAAATTACCATTAATGCACGTGGCTGACCACTGGTAGAGGCCTGCAGTACCATATATCGCCTTGTGCGATACCACCCTTTTCATTCCGGAGAATAAAACAGTGGCTTCATTTTTATACTCCATTGCTCAAATGTCATATGCTAATATACTTCCTTGTTTGCTCATGTGGGAAGAAATACAGAAGTCATTCGATTTGTAATTTTGCAAAATACAGCTGCAAAAAGTCACATCGACATAGTCAAAAGATATTTTTCTACCTTCAGTGACAATTGAAACGTCACTTCCTATCCCGGTATTTCCTGTTTTTAGCAGGCTAGCAGATGTACCATGAATGCTTTGCTGGAGGGTGCATAATTTTTTATCAAATTGTTTTGCATCCTTCGTGCATCGTCAGTGCCACACACAAAAATATAAAATTCTGCCGCATACACAAAACGTGGTGCGAGAGTTAAGGACATTTCGCCCATCACCCCACATCTGTCATGACCACTGGTGCTTTGACGCCTCCTTTACATGCCATCCACATGCCAAGGGCTCTGGTGAGCGCACAAGCTACTCCAAATGTTACCGAATCCTCATGTAAGGTATAAATGGACGATGTTTGGTGGATATTCACCCACGTTAGTTTGTTGATTTCCTGTGTTAAGTGCTGTAGACCTTTTAAATCATTACAGAAATATTACAAGCATACAAGTACAATGTTGCTGTGCAACCTGTGCAATAGTAATGCAGTGGAAATAGGATAAAAAGGGCAAATATTAACAAGTACCTATCTATTGCCAAAGTTTCATTTTAGCTGGATGCATATAGCTTACATCAAGAAATATCTTTGGCTCCTGATTTTAGAGGACAACGTGTCGATTCTTTAAGATGCATCAATTTTGGAGAGGGAATAAAGAAAATAATGATGGGGGAAGCAATTTTGTTCTAGCAACACGTGAAAATGGATCAGTTGAAGCGGCGTACTTAATTTAAAGTTGGTGTTAAACTCAAATTTGGGTGACTGACTAGGTGAACGGAAAGGATAGTGTTACCATAGAGTTAGTTTTATTAAAGCTGCTCAGACCGTAGCCTGGACCCCAAAAATCTGTGCTACGCCTTCTGCCAACGAAAACACGCTCCTGCCTAGTTTTTCAACTCTAAAATGCAAAGCCACCCACTGGGGTTAAATGGTTCTGCTAAGAACGTCAGGGGTAATATTAGTTCTGTGATGACAGAGAAGGTTAGCAGATTGCTGGACATTGCAGTTATGTTGTAAGACATGAAAGCGTCAGTTTTCCACAGCAGCGTACACGAGTGTCACTCACCCATACCCATTTGTGAACGTGATCTGTTCATCAGAAACTTTAATAAATGCACATGTGGCTGAGTTGTGTGCTATATGACCTATTTGTACATTCCTTGGAACTGGAACCACTGTAGGTTATTGGTCTAACGTTACGTTTCTGAATTGATGTCCCTTTTCATTATTTCAGGGACCATTTAGTGGCACTTAACATTTCATTTGTTTTCAGTTCGTTCCATCCCTGTAAGGTGGAAAGTTGAAAATCCGGTGCGGTCGTGATCTATGTCTTGGTGGAAATTTCTGACCCAACCCAATGTGACCCGAGGATTGACCCAGATTCCGTGGACTATTCCAATCCGTGAAATGTTCTAGCTCGCAGACAGTTAATTATGTTAGACATCGCATACACCAGCGGCTGGAGATGTGCCGCGGGTGGAGATGTACCGCGGATGGAGATGTGCCGCGGGTCGCGAGGCCACGTCTGGAGATATGCCAAAGGTCGTGAGATCACGGCTGGTGATGTGCCGCGGGTCGCGATACCGCATCTGGAGATGTACCGTGGGTGGTGATGTACCGCGGGTGGAGATGTGCCGCGGGTCGCGAGACCGCGATTGGAGATGTACCGCGCGTGGAGATGTACCGCGGATGGAGATGTGCCGCGGGTCGCGAGACCACGTCTGGAGATATGCCAAAGGTCGCGAGACCGCGTCTGGAGATGTGCCGCGGGTCGCGAGACCGCGTCTGGAGATGTACCGTGGGTGGAGATGTACCGCGGTTAGAGGTGTACCGCGGGTGGAGATGTACCACGGTTGGGAATGTACCGCGGGTGGAGATGTACCACGGTTGGAGATGTGTTGCGGGTCTCGAGACTGCGTCTGGAGATATGCCAAAGGTTGCGAGACCGGCCTGTGCATGTTTCGCCAGCTTCAAAGGAGATAACCTAGCAAGCAGTGTACCAGACAGTCGATTATGTATGCCACATACTGATTACATGCTTAAAGGCTTGTCGACTACAAGGTCGTGCAGTGTTCATTATTCCATGCTATGTTAGCCTTAGCTGTCTCCCAACAACGGTCTACGATACGGGCTGCGCGACTAAAATACGCTGGCAGGATGTATGGTAACAAAATCTGGGCAGCTTCAAGCTATATGGCTTAGAGAAGCTGATTTCTTTGGATTGGGCGCTCTGTTTCGGACCGTACAAAATATGCCATATCACGTAGAGCATGAGTGCGTTTGAATTTGTACCTTCCGGAACATCTGGACATAATCTAAACCTTTCAAACAAACCGTTTTTTGGTGAACGACAGTTTTTTCACGGAGCGATCGGTCCGCCTTGTTTCTGTAAGTGATATCTTAATGTATCTGCCATCCACAGGTGGATCGGTTTTCTGGATGCAAACCGGGTCGCGCTGGTAAAAGGCGAACGGATCTTCCTTGACAGACGACGATGCTTGTCGATAGCAAATGAATGACACGCACTCGTCGAAGTGTATTGCAACGAGGTATTCACGGTTGAAACAATAGCACATAATCGGGTGCCAAATGGCATGTTCCCTTGGAGTTTCGCGTTTCACCTTCACCATCATCAACTGTTTTGCTGAGTTCGTGCCTTCTGGCTTCGTTAGCTGTTACCAGAAAGACACGACATTGTGCTGCGTGTAAACGGGATGCATAATGACGCCTTAAAATGTTTTTAGGCTGCTCAGGTGTTGGCTGCTGGATGGCAGCCACAGGAACAAACACGATAGTATTTTTAAATTTAGCCCCAAAAACCGGGACATACCCTCGTTTCTACCGACTGGCATGACAGACTAACGAGAGCAGATAGCGTGTGACATCTGTACAAATTGGTGAGGATGTGTACATTTGCCTATCACATTATTTCACATTATGTTAAGGAACAAACTAGGAGGTATACTCCCGCATATGGCTGTTCAGCACGACGCATTTCCCAAATCTGGCGAAATGTAGCACGTCATGAATGATTGATAAAGGCGCATACGTTACGTCCTCAGGTCGCTGAGAAGCATGAGATCTCTCAGTCTCCCCACACACGTTCCATCACCGTAGAAACATGAACATGACCTTGTGAGAAAAACACTCCCCGGGAAGGTCCGTACTAGGTACATTCCATCGCAATGATGCTACAAGCCAACGCAATTCGCATCACTACAAACCGATTCTACCGATTCTAAACCCCTGTGGCTATTCACGCGCTAACGGAGTCAGAAGCAGTATTTCATTCCGGTGTATCAACGCGGGACATCGATGGCTTTGAGGCTGGGAGCGACTCAGCGACATGAAGTGGAAACTCGGCTACCTTTTCAGCGTTCTGAAACAGATGCTGAATCTGTTCCAGCGAGAGACCCCTTGTTTCCTTCAGACAAAATGTGGCAAACAACACCTGGCACAGGCTTACCAGCGAGTGGATGACGAAGCCTCCACCCAGACCAATCCCATCTCTGATTAGTGGGTACATCTTTAACAGCACAAATCCACTCAAATTCAGCACAACGAGGACGATGTTTGCGCCCAAGGTGCGCGTCTTGTTGGGCAGCAGCTCGGTGACGTAGTTAAATGCAACGTTGGCGAGCATGCCGACAAAGGCCACTTGCGTCAGGCCTGCGCCCGCCAGTACAATCCAGCCGAGACGCTCCTGGGACTCCGCGGCCAGGAAGAAGTACGCGGCGACCGTGGCGCAGCCGATAGCAGAGAGCACGCCGCCCAGACGCAGCACCGGTAGCCGGCCG